AACGAAACTGATATGTAGTTTTGCAATCGGTTTATAACTTAATGTAACAGACATGGCAAACATAAAAGGATACCCACATATTATTAATTTAAGGAAATATTTCTAACTGTTATGGGAAATTGAGGAGGATGAGCTTGGCAGGATTGACTGAGAGACAATGGTGTTAGTGAGAAATCTACCTTAAATGGTGGTTTTTAAAGTTGGATATTAAATACTGTTAACAGAGCTACCTTGAGTATGTTTCTAAATTTAATAGTAGGGAATTGTACTTCTCTTTAGGACAGGCGGTGATATATAACAACTTAATTGAGGTTCTCTGAAAAATTAAGGCTGTATTTATGCAATATTTCAATGAACCTGGAAATAAAAGAAAAAGTTAGCTCTTGTCTTTGTACTTATTTCTAAAATCTAACTGTGAAGCTCACTGGAGTGACTATTTCCCTTTTAATGACCAAGTAGTATTAATGGTCTATTGGGTAAGACAAAAGCCTTGAATCAGACAAAATCAGTTCTTCTACTTATTAGTTACATGACATTGTGCAAACTATAAAATCTCTCTGATTCTCTGATTATTCATCTGTAAAATTAGAGATACTTTTAATAACATGGAATTATTCAGAGGGCTATATGAGAATGAGTAGAAAATATTTTTCAAAAACTCATATTTTTATATTCTAAAAATACTGATATATTGTGTGGCAGAATGCAACATTTATGTGCATTTTACTAAAAACAAACAAACAAACAAAAGACAATGTAAATAATGAGACATCAACGGGATCGCATGCTTGCCAGGGCTGCTGTTAGGTCATTCCCTAGATTCTATTTTGTTGGGTAATTTCTGGGGAAACATTTGAGGAAAATGGTATTTGTACTAATTGTTGAGACAAGCATGATGGTCTGGGATAAACTTCCTGTTATTTCTTGATACAATTGACCAGTGAGATTAATCAAATAAGGCTTATACATATTCTATTTGTAAACTAGGGAAGATATTGCTTCTTGTTTTTAGGAGGCACACCTTGAGCAAGCTTAGTGAGGTACTCCATTCAAACTCTGCCTTCTCAGATCTGCTGTTGAAAAACAGGAGCACCCTCTTTTTCTAGAATGCTCTTACCCTACTAGTATCTGGCAAGCTCCTGATAATCCTTGAAGTTCAAGTTCAAATATCATATCCTCTGAGAAGACTTATGCAGTTCTCCTGGGCCCTCTCCATTTTGGGTTTCCAACCTGCCTAGTGCATTTATTAGCTAAGATACAACCCTCATCATATTGCCTCTCAATTAATCTGCTAATTTTACTTCCTTTTTTCTTTTGACTGTGTACTTCTTATTTATTTTAATTAAAAATATTTATAAGTATAGTTACCATACAATGTTACAGTAGTTTTAGGTGTACAACATAGTTATTCAATATTGATATACCTTACAAAGTGATCACCACAAGTCTAATAACCATTTGTCACCGTGTATTGTTATTACAATATTGATTCTATGCCCTATGCTACACATTCTACCCCCCATGACTTATTTCATAATTTGACTTTACTACAAATTGGAAATGTGTATTTCTTAATCCCCTTTTCCACCCAAACGCTCACCCCTCTGCCAACCATCAGTTTGTTATCTGTATCTATGAGTTTCTGTTTCATTTTGTTCGTTTTGTTTTTTAGATTCCACATGTAAGTGAAATCATAAGGTAGTTGTCTTTCCCTATCTGACTTATTTTACTTATCATAATTCTTTGTTTATAGCTGAGTAATATTCCATTGTGCATCTGTGCCACATCTTCTTTACCTGTTTGTAGAGGGGGCACGTAGGTTGTTTCTGTTACTTGGCTATTGAAAACAATGCTGCAATGAACATAGGAGTATATATATCTTTTCAAATTATGTCCCCCCCCCCTCCTTTTCTGGATACACATCTAGAAGTGGAGTTGCTGGGTTGTATGGTAGTTCTATTTTAAATTTTTGAGGACTATTTATAGTGCGTTCCATAGTGGCTACACAAATTTATAATCATACCAACAGTGCACAGGGATTCCCTTTTCTCCACATCCTCACCAGCACTTGTTATTTGTTGTCTTTTTTACAATAGCCATTCTGACATGGGTGAGGTGATATGTCATTATGGTTTTAATTCGCATTTCTCTGATGACTAGTGATGTTGAGTATTTTTTTATGTGTCTGTTGGCCAACTTTATGTCTTTGGAGAAATATATGTTTAGGTCCAGTGCCCATTTTCTTTTTTTTTTTTATTTTTTATCCTCACCCGAGGACACTTTTTGTTCAGATAGAGTAGGAGAGAGAGAGAGAGAGAGAGAGAGACATCTATGTGAAAGAGACACATCGAGTGGCTGCCACACGCACAACCAACCAGGGCCGGGGACAAACTGCAACCAAGGTACATGCCCTTAGCGGGAACCGAACCCGGGTCTCTCAGGACCGCAGGCTGATGCTCTAACCGCTGAGCCAAACCGGCCAGGGCTCCAGTGCCCATTTTCAAAGTTAGATTATTATTTGTTGATGTTGAGTTGTATGGATTCTTTATATATTTTTATATTGACCCCTTATTAGATACATCATTTGCAAATATCTTCTCCTATTTAGCAGATTGTCTTTTTGTTTTATTAATGGTTTTCTTTGCTGTGCAAAACCTTTTAAATTTTATATAGTTCCATTTGTTTATTTTTGCTTTTGCCTGAGAAGACATAACAAAAAATTTATTGCTAAAGCCAATATCAAAGAGTTTACAGACTATCTTTTTTTCAAAAGTCTATTATTTCAGGTCTTACATTTAAGTCTTTAGTCCATTTTGAGTTTATTTTTTGTGTATGGTATAAGAATGTGGTCTAATTTCAATTTTTGTGTGTATCTGTCCAGTTTTCCCAACACTGTCTTTTGCCCATTGTATATTTTTGCCTCCTTTTTTTATAGATTAATTGACTAAATTCATATATGAATGGGTTTACTTCTGGGCTCTTTATTCTGTTCCACTGATGTGTGTGTGTGTGTGTGTGTGTGTGTGTGTGTGTGTGTGTGTGCCTCTACCATACTGTTTTCATTACTAGAGCTTTGTAATATAACTTGAGCATGATACCTCCAAGTTTGTTATTCTTTTAAGAATTTCTCTGGATATTTGGGGTCTTTTGTGATTCCCTATGTATTTTACGATTTTTATGTTCTAGTTATGTGAAAAATGCCATAGGTATTTTGATAGGAATTGCACTGACTTTGTAGATTGCTTTGGGTAGAATGGACATTTTAACTATATTAATTCTTCCAATCCATGGAGCACAGTATATGCTTTCATTTATGTTTTCAATTTCTTTCATCAATGTCTTATATTTTTCAGATGTTTTACTTCCTTGCTTAAGTTTATTTCTTGTATTTTATTCTTTTTGATGCCATTGAATGGGATTATTTTCTTTTTCTTTATTTTTTGATAATTCATTATTTGTGTGTAGAAGCACAACAAATTTCTGAATATTAATTTTATGTCCTGCAACTTTACTTATTCATTTATTGATCCTAATAGTTTTATCATGCACTTTCTAGGTTTTTAAAAATATATCATTGGCAAATAGTGACAAGTTTACTTTTTCCTTTTCAATTGGGATACCTTCTGCCCCCCTGGTTTCATTGCTGTGGCTAGGATTTCTGATACCATGTTCGATAAGAGTGGTGATAGTGGACATCTTTGTCTTGTTCCTGATGTACAGAAAAGCTTTCAACTTTTCACAGTTAAGTGTGATGTTAGCTGTGGGTTTGTTATATATGGCCTTTATATGTTCAGCTATCTTCCTCATGTATCTGCTTTGTTGAGAGTTTTTTCTTATCAAAAATGGATATGGAGTTTTGACAGATGAGTATGTGATTCTTGAAGCTAGAGGCCTTAAGGATATTACCTAGAATAGTCTGATGTTTTGGTAAATACTCAATAAAAATGATCGAGTAGATTAATTAATTAATTAATTTTATTATTATAAGCACTCAGTAGGGTGACAGGTATTATAGCCAAGTTCCTCTCAGGTACTCTTTTTTTTTGGTTTGTTTTTAAAGATCTAAACAGATGAAGACCACGTTTTTTTTTTCCTTTATTGATTTTAGAAAGAGAGGAAGAGAGAGCAAGAGAGAAACATCAACGTGAAAGGGACACATTGAGTGTCTGCCACCCGCATGACCAACCAGGGCTGGGGACAAACTGCAACTGAGGTATGTGCCCTTAGCAGGAACTGAACCCGGGTCTCTCTGGACCACAGGCCAATGCTCTAACCGCTGAGCCAAACTGGCCAGGGCTCTTTTTACAAAAATAAAACGTTGACTTTTGTAATTCTGTATGTGTAGTTTCATTTTATATAATTTGATCATTATATCTGTGGTCCATGGCATTAAAATATCTTGGTGATGCTATTAATGCTACTATAAGTTGGAGTTAATTTACAGATAGTTATTCTATCTGCATGTAAGTGTGTGGTGAATATGAGTATCTAGAGTACCTATGATTTTACCTATTTGCTTTAGGTGTACAGTGACCCTTAGATTAGTTTGACTTCTGATGAGCCACACTTGACCCTTTCCTCCATAGGCTGGAGAAGGAACACTTTGATGTAACACGAAGTTATGCTATCTGCTGGCCAGCAAGAGAGTGTCCCACTTTTGGTATCTTTTTTTGGTGTCACCGCTTAAATATTTTACTATTTTAAAAAAAGAACAGATAAAGGAAGAGTACACATATTGATCCAGTGAGATAATGTATATTTCATAAATTCATTAATAAAAAAAAGATACAAGTCATTGGGTACACAGAAACCAGCCAATGTAAGCATTGATTGGATGCTAATTCATTGTATGGCTGCCTGTGTGCTCAACTATGAAATAAAAGAATACAATCAAAGTAATAGTTAAAATGCTGGAAACAGATTTTACCTCTGAGAGAAGTAAACTATATTGTGATATGTTATGTTAAATAAAGTGATAACTACGAGCTCTGTTTTTCTAGAGCATGGCTTCTGCACCGAGGATGCCAGATGAAAACTCAAGCCCTAGTAACAGCGAGAGTGAGAGTGACAGTGAGACGGAAAGCCACAGCCCTGATGGCAGTGAGACCCTGGCGAGCTTGTCCTCGTTTGAGCAGTCTGAAGAAGAAGAGCATCTCACCTTGGAAGACATGATAGAAGAGCCAGCTGCTGGGCAGTTACCATGTGAGTTTGAAATCGATGAAGAGAAACCTTCAGCAGTTGAAGCCACAGGTGAAAGCAGCCATGATTTAGAAAAATCAGGTGAGGCGACACCCATGGGTGAATTTTCCTCCCTCCCTTCTTTCTTCTTCCCCCACCCTCTCCTTCCCTGTGAACAATATCAGTGCCCTCAAATATTTTCTCTTTTATATTAAATTAGATTTTTGTATGTTTGGTTTTTTTTTAGTTGATCCAGAATGAAGAGTTTGCTTGGCTTGGGATCTATATTGTAAAAAATAAAAACATTAGGTTAGGACATTTTTTTTTAAATGAGCGCGTATAGGTGATTTTATTTAAGTTAAATATTGATGTGTTACACTCCACTATAGCACAGATCTTACAATTTTCTTCACTCCAATTAAATCAATAAATCCCTAACAATAGGGGCTGAGAATCAGCAATTATAATGAGATTCTCCTATGATTCTGATGATAGTACTATGAATTTAAAATCAGGTTCACATGACTCTGCTTAACTCACAGGTTGAAGAGTACTTGAATGTTAAGCCTGAGTTCCTAAATTAATTACAGGGTGTGACAAAAGTAGGTTTACAGTTATGAGCACATGAAACACAGAATTTATTCTTATATCATTATTTATTGTTTTATTTTATTTTTTTAACTTTTTTTTTGTTAATCCTCACCCAAGGATATTTTCCCATTGATTTTTAGAGAAAGTGTAAGGGAGCAAAGAAGGGGAGGGAGGGGGAGAGAGAGAGAGAGAGAGAGAGAGAATCATCAATTTGAGAGAGTTACATCAATTGGTTGCCTTTTGCACGCACCCCAACCGGGGCCTGGGGTCAAACCTGCAACCCAGGTATGTGCCTTTGACTGGTAATTGAACCCCAAACCCTTCCATGGATGGGCTGACGCTCTAATCTTTAAGCCACGGCAACCAGGGCTCATTGTTTTTTATTGCATTATTTTCCATATGAACTGTAAACCTACTTTTGCTCCACCCTCTATTAGCACATAAAATACAATTTTACTGAATGTAAAAAAAATCAATACCATGTTGAGTTTTAGTATACATTTCAATATAAAATGTTATAAAAAATACTGTATATTATCACTTCCAAGGAAAATATTTCAGTAGCTGCAGAAAAACATTTAATAAAGTTCAATAGTAACTCATGATTACTTTTTCACCTACCAAGAAAAAAGATGTACCTAAACTTAATAAAAACAACCTGCTAAAAATCTACATCAAACATTGAATAATGATAAAATTTTATCTGCTTTGCTACTGAAGGGAGGAATAAGAAAGAATTTTTCTTTTATTACTATTATTTAGTATCATATTGGACGTTCTAGTTAGTGTAAAGCAAAACCCAGAGAAGTAAATAAGATATGGGAGGATAGGGGAGAAAGAAAAAATAATTGTTATTATACTCTACCTTGAACAGTGAAGAAAGTCTACCTAAAATGTCCAAGAGAATCTACACACAACTGAGAAATGAGAGAAATCTCCTTTGGAATATAAGAGTGACATTTTAAAAGATATTGATCCTAATCACCATCAGTATGGAAATGTCCATTAGTATGGAATATAATACTGACTCTAAGCACCAAAAATGTCTAATTAGAATATACATTAAAAGAAAGAAAACCATCAAATTAGACATATAAACTAAAAATATATTCAGAAATAAATCTAACAAAACATATTAAGGAGATCCCTGGCCAGGTGGCTCAGATGTTTGGAATGTCTTCCCATACACCAAATGATGCAGGTTTGATTCCTGGTCAGGGCACATATCTGAATTTTGGGTTCAATTCCCAGTCAGTGCACATACCTAGGTTTCATGTTTGATCCCCAGTCGGAGTGCATAAAGGAGGCAACTGATTGATGTTTCTCACATCAATATTTCTTTCTCTCTAAAAAAAAAAATCAATAAACATATCCTCAGGTGAGGATTAAAAAACATATTAAGGAGAAAATAATTATGAAATATTATAAAATAAATTAACTGTACTGAGTAAATGTAGAAATATACTAGGTTCTTCCTTGTTATCATTTAATATTATAAATATATCTAATATGACCAAATTAATCTGTAAATTCAATACATGTTTGGTCTGAATCTCTTCTACAAAAAACAAAAAAAAGTAATGGAGTATCTTAAAGATCTTGAGATAAATTTCTTACACAAAATAAAACAAATGCTGCATTTCTTGAACAAGATAAAAGAAAATTTCAAGTAAAAGATTAAAAGTTTGAAAAATTTTACCATAATAAAATAAAAAAGCATTTATGTAATAAAAGACTCCAAACAAAGTTAAAGGAACAGACTAGAATGAGACAATAAATCCAGGTATAAATATAAGAATTATTGATCCAGGAAAGCTAAAGATTGAGCACAAATTAGTCGGAGAAGACAATGCAATAGAAAATAGGCAAAGGTTGTCAATAAGGAAATCAAAAAAGGGAGATCTGAATGTAAAAAAAAAGATATATATTCTACAAGATATTCATCTTTGGTAGTGATATAAATTAAATCTATGAGATACTATTTCACATTTTTCAGATTAGAAATATTTTAAAATTGGACAATATCAATATCTTGAATATGAACTGAATATCGCCTAGTGAAGTTGCTTACCTCTCTTATCCTCACATCTTAGAGAATCGTTTTTGCATATGCTCAGTGAAACATATTAACATTTTTATTAACCAATGTCATCCCAATAAATTCAATTTAAAAAGAAATGAAGGAAGGAAAAAATAATGCAAAAATACCACAATTTGTAAAACAATGGGAAGAAAACAAAACAACTTAAATGTCTATCAGTATGGAATTTGGCTTTAAAATGTGATATACTTGTATAGTACAGCATCATCAACTGCTAAAGTGAATGTACTATATCTATGTGTATTAACATGGATAGATCTCATAATCATAAATCATAAAGTTGAATGAAGAAAACAAGTTGTGGAATTATACCATTTAATTTAAGGAGACATAAAAAGATATATGCTAATACAAAACTATGGCAAAAAAATATCACAATGTTGGTTGCCTCTGTGGCAGCAGAATGGGAATACAACTTTACCTTGAATGTTTATTTCCCCTTAATAAATAAATGTGAATCCAATGAGCAAAATTTTAACATTTATCAATTCCAATGTTGGGACACATAGGCATTTATTATTATTCTTTAACCAGGAATTGAACTGGCGATCTCCTGGTGCATGGGTCAGCGCTCAACCACTGAGCCAACCTACTGGGCTAAATTCTCTACATGTTTAAATTCTTCATCTGGAGAATGTATAAATAACATTTACCCAAAGCAAATGTTGATAATTTATTTAAGCTCAAATTGAAATATCTCTTACCTACTTACAAACTAAAATAAAAATAAGTAAAAGAAACACAGTAAACCGACATAGTGTGTTTCTAAAATGATCAATGCAATTGAAATTAAAATTTAAAATATTCTTCCAAATGAGTATTTTCACGTGACTCCACCAGTGAGGCAGACTTTTAGTAAGCAAAACTTAAGACCTGGTAACAGAAAACTTTGCTGCCACCTTACACAAAATGTTAAAATCTTGAATCTGTAACTATTCACAGTATTAGCTTGTTGGGTTACTTCTCTCATTATAGATATGAAAATAGTAATGACAAAATGGGATTATGAAATTCTAGGGTCACTAAATGATGAAGACATTTGGAGTCTTCTATGTTAATTGTAAGAAATATAAAATATATGCAACTTTAACAAAAATGAATATATACACCCACGTGTAGCCTTACGGTTTGGATAATAAATTTTAAAGTAGTTTTTAGGAGCGAGGAGCTACATATATATAGTCTGTCTAGGCACCCCAAATATTTAAATACTTAACACCCCTCAATTAAGCCCAAATTCACTTTCTTTGGAAAAATAGCAGTTGAGAAGGCTCAATTAATTGATATCAGTCATAACTAGATGAGAGACTACTTATGCCGTAACAAAAATGCCAAAAAATCTATAGTGTGTTTTAATATTCCTGCTTACTTTTTTCCTGAGACCTCACATGCTAAATAGATGAATGTTTGTTTCCTTTCCAAATCCCAATTTCTTGATAGAAATGCATTTAACAAGGACATGGAATATTACAAAGAAATTTTCAGGAAAAATTTATTCCAAAGAATTAAATCGATTTTCCTTTTTTTCCTATATACAGACGAGTGGAAAAATACAGGATTTACCCTTTTATTGTTTATCTTTAGTGAAAGACCTTTTGAAGGTAGATCCTCTATCTCTATATCTATTTAAAGATATCTTTCTATATATTCATATGAATTAATTTTGAAAGTGGTAAATTTTCAGTTTTCTAGACATTTTTGTCTCTGTGGACTTGGTCTATTTATGTTTCTCATTAAAATTTATTTGCAACTGGGAATTTATTATTTTAGAATTTATGAAAAATCTAATTTTAAACTGTAAGATTGGCTTACTTTGCCCATAATTATTTTTACAGTAAGCAATGTAGGCATATTCTCATTTTTAACATATCTGTTTGTATTTTGACATGTTACTGAATATTTCAGCCATGTTTACATAGTCTTGTATAAAATATAAATATGCTCAGTTAGCAACAAAAGGAATTATCAGTTAAAATTATTTTAAAATTGAGTATTACATTTGTTACTTATTTTAAAGGATTAACTGAATGTAAAGGAATTCTGAGGATGCTCTCATTGAATATTTTGGAAACTCTGTCAAAATCTAAGTAAGTACAGCACAAATTCTTCAAAGTAATGCATCATGAGAAGTAATTCATTTCCTCTGTATGACATAATTTTTTTGTTGTTGTTAATCCTCACCTGTGCATATTTTTCCATTAATTTTTAGATAGAGTGGAAGGGAGGGAGGGAGAAAGAGAGAAACATCGATGTGAGAGAGACACATCGATTGGCTGCCTCCTACATGACCCCTTGGGTCCACAGGTTGATGCTCTAAAGCTGAGCCAAACCGGCCAGGGATGGATAGCATAATTTTTTACTTCTTTCTGCTATGAATCATTTTTGAGAAACTACCAATAGGACAAGAAATTAAAAGGGAAAGGGGGTGGAGAAAATTGAAGAGGGTAAAGGGGGGTAAATGGAGATGGAAGGCGACTTGACTTGTGGAGATGAACACACATTACAATATACAGAGGATGTATTATAGAATTGTATATCTGAAGCCTATATAATTTTATTAACCAATATCACCCCAATAAATTAAATACAAATTTTTATTGAAAATAAGTAAATATTTTCTTTCCTTGAAAGGGTTATGCTATATGGCTTTCAATCAGTAGCAAGGAATAATATATCGAAAACTTCGAAGAGCAGTGTAAGTGGAGGAAAGATTCATCTTTCTTTAAATATCGCGCAAGACTAAAGTGGCGATTTAATTGGCATTCTATTACATGCCATAATATTTTCAGGTCTCTTGATATTGTCTTTGGTGTGTTTTAACTAATGTCAAAACGTTATATAATAGCAAGGAGGACAAATATACCAAACCAATGCATCATTTCATTTCCTCAACAGTTATTTTTGTGTGCCTGTTAATATGCTGGGCACTAGGGATACAGTGATGAAGAAAGCAGAACTTCTTGTTGTAGGTGATTTAATGAGTCTATTGCTTATCTCCACAATCCAATTTTCTAAAGTAATTTTGAATAAATATACCATAATGTCAATTGTATACAATTACAAAGTAAAAACAAAACCCAAAGCATCATGTATAATGTGCATATTTTAAACACATGTTATGACCAAAGCATACTTTGGTTCTAATAGTTTTAAAAATATTTATCTCATGAATCCTCACAGCAACTACATGAAACATTATCTGTTTTTAATTCCCACTTAAATTGGGAAACTGTAGCACAGGATAGAGAAGCAAGTAATCCAAAGTCTCAGAGCTTGTAAGTGACAGATCCAGGATTCCAGTCAATCTGATCCACTACTTCACATGTTCAAAAAAGCAGAGTAAATTCTGAAAAAGGTACACAGCAGAATTAACATCTTTCAGCAGTGTTTTAAAATTTTTTAAGTAGCACGTAGTAACTTCCCACATCCTAGCCACAAAACGAAAGAAGCAAAAACAAGCAAGCAAACAAAAAATTTAAAATTAGAAGAAAATATGTAGTTCATGTTTTAGTTGTTGGAAAGTATTTAATTAAATTTCTGACATCTGTCAATGAAGGCATAACTCTATACAGTTGCTTTAGAAAACAATTGCTATTGCCTTATGATATACAACTTAGTAATTACATCTGTATAAATATACCCTAGAATTTCCCCTGTGTACTAGGAAACAGCCACCGTAATGATCATTGCAGCACAGTTTGTAACAGCAGTAAATGAAAGAAATAATACAAATGCTCATTGAAAAGAGAAAGATATAGATTGTGATTTAGACATAGAATTGATATTCTATATCAGTAAAGTTTTTTAAGTATGGCTTCGTATAATTGTATGCTAAAATTTTCATAGTAATTGATAATTAAGTTGAAAAAGTAAATTTCATAAAACATTGTCCTTGTAATAAAGATCCAAAACTAGGCCTACATATATTGTCATAAAAACTTTAAAAAAATGAAGCAAGAGAATGATGAAAACTAAATTCAAGGCAGTGGTTGCCTCTGAGGGAAGAGGTAGGGAGATACGTTTTGAAAACACCTCTTAGAGTAGATATAAGTCATAGAATATCTTTTATTTCTTGGAATGGGTGAAGAGGTCACAGCTCTTCATTGTATGTGAATTTAAAATGCAAAATAAGATAGTTCCATACATATAATTGACCAAGGATTATGATTGCTTAAATGTTCCACACTAGAAGTACAAAAACAGTAAATCTCTCAATTTAAAATAGAGATACATTTTTTTTTGCATAAATTTTTGCTTACAACAATGAATTTCAGTTTCACAACAGAAATCAGTCATATTTTAACTAAGGGTTTATTTACTATTACAGAATAATGGAAATTCCATGAAAAATTGTTACTTGATCATAATATAAAAGTGTGGTTAGTTTTTCTTTAAGTTTCTTAAACTAGAGGAAAGCTTGTGTAACCATTGGACTGTGGAATTTTATCTGAAGCTACTGTTATATTATAATCTTTGCATGATGTGTTTTATGTTTTTATTCAGAATGGTGAGCTTACTGAAAGACTTTGTTGAGTCTGAATTTTTTTTGATTGATGGAGATTCATTGCTCATCACTTGTGTTTTTAATGTGAACTTCAGAATAGGACAGACTCTTCACTTCTTCTACATTGTAGAACAATTTCTGCATGATTTCATTCAAAAGGAAGCCAAATTTGAAATAGTTTTTTTTAAGGTAACAAACATTTAATTCTCTGTTCTAATTTTGTAGAATCTAAGAAAACATATTTACTTTGAAATGTGATCAGTCATTACTTACCCTTTTAGATAGTTTGCTTCTTCAGATTATAATTAAAGTCTCCACTAATAATAATATTAAGTAGCATTAATAGTAAAACAGCTAATGGGTCTTTATTTATCTGACATTTCTACAGGATTTAGAAAAATTAAGTTAATAACCTTGAACTTTTAACTCTTTGTATTATATTAATACAACAATTTATATATGATGCTAATATTTAAAATTAACATTAGTTTTCCTTTTCTACAGGATGCAGAAAATCTGTATTATGATTACCCTGAAATTCTGACCCTTCGTACCCTATTGATTCATCATTTAGAATCCAATACTGATGTCACTATTCATACAGAGTTTTCCAACTGTCTGACACCAGAATGGGAGATCTTTCTTAAGGACTGTTATCCATATTTCCTAATTGTCTCAGAAAAAGGAATAACATCTTGTCAAACAGACTTTTTAAACATTTTTATCATTCATGCTCTTCAGAAGAAAATCAATATTGTACAGTCTTCTGGAATAGAGTCAGATGTCCTTAGAATTTATGGATACTTTGCCTCAAGTCTCAATTTACACAAATTTTTTTTTGAAAAGGTAAGTTATTTTTAATTGCCCAGAAGAAATGAGCAACATAAGTGTAGAATAATTAACCAGAGAACCAATAGCATAAGTGCTTATTCAGTTATTCTGGGCATAAGAATGCTCTGAAGGAATATTCTATCTAACATGGGGAAAGAGGGAAGAATTTATTTTTATATGTCTTTAGAAGGAGACCTTATCTTAATTTCTTGCATATTAAGCCTTTGTATGGGCAATTTTGAGAGATGGGGAAGAAAAATATGGGTTTAGGTCATGTACAAGAGGCACTGGGGGGAACAGTTCAGAACCAAGGACATGTGAGGACCACAGTGGCAAATTCTCAGCCTGTGTCCTGCACATAAATTACATGTGTCTGTATATACACATATACACATATTCACAAATATATACACATTCATTTATATACTCCTACATATTATATATGCATACTTTTTGTATATATATTTTACACATACATATGTATATACATGTGTGTATATATAATCTAAGATGATTTTGTCGATATTCTCACTTTAAAAATTAAGATAGCCCTGGCACGTTTGGCTCAGCAGTAGAGGGTCGGCCCGCGGACCGGTGAGTCACATGTTCAGTTCTGGTTGCAGTTCGTCCCTGGCTCTGGTTGGATTATGCAGGAGGCAACCAATCGATGTGTCCCTCTCACGTTGATCTTTCTCTTTCTCTCGCTTTCTCTCCCTCTCTCTCCTTCCCACTCTGTCTGAAGATAAATGGAAAAATATCCTCGTTGACGATTAAAAAAAATTAAGATAGCTGATAGAGAAAATATTTTAATATCTTATTTGTAAGAACTTTTTTTGCAACTATTTTGAATAGTTGTAGCCATTAAAAATAGATAAGTATGAATTGATAGTAAGGCTTGAGAATATCACTTAAACTTTTCTTTATTTTTTACTTTTGGGTAAATAGATAACATATCAGTGTGGGGCAATATAGAACAATTATATTACTACTAAGGCCAGTACTTTTTAAGTGGTTGGTTTTATTAGAAATAAAAGCATTTTAATTTCTCTTCTTATATTCTAGTAACTTCAGCAGTGAATAGTTCACATAAAAGGAGTGGAAATCTATTTAACTTGGATTAATGAACTTTTTGTTTTGTCCATAGTCAAATAATTATAAACATTATTTTCCACCTTGTATTTAATTTAACTAGAGGCTTGCAATAGTATTTTTATTTGCACCAGAAGACTTACTTATGTGTTTTATTTTTTTAGCATGAGCTACAACTGCAACACGCCTTACATGCCTGCATTAAAGACTCTTACCAAAGGTCACAGGAAAGAGAAATATTTCTGTATGGTCATTTGAAACTAAACTTGGGAGAAATGCAGAAAGAGGTAACACATTTATCAGGAAACTAAAGTCCAGCATCTAGGAAATATACTTTTAATACTTATTGCATCTAGAAGACAGTTGTTTTTTCAACCAACATTTATGTTCTTGCTGATTATGTAGACTTTCTTCTTTAAGCAGCATAGCACTGAACAGAATGATTATTGCTAAGTTTATTGATTGCAAAACCCTAGGAATTTCCTACAAAAAACTTTGTATAAAACATACAGTAAAATTGGAGGAAGAAAACTACTGTGGTAATTTCTGTATCTCAAACTTTTATTCTTAATATATGTGTGCTATGGAAATGTATACCTAAAACATAGGACTTTTTTTTAGTATTCTGGAAAGGAAAGCTATGTAGTTAGTAGATGGAAATTAAGCCACTGATGCTTTGGTGATCTCTCATGAGGAACCTAAGTCACTGGTTATTTTACCTTTTTGATTACTCCAAACTCTCTATCTGATATTTCCCTTTCATAGGTTATTCTTTATGAAAATCTAGGTATGCTGTGATGATGTGGTCAAGTTCATATGACTACGGAATAGTGCTTATGAGCAACATATTTAGTTTCTCTCATAGACAACAGCCTATTAGACAACTCTTTTTAATAGGCATAACAAAGTTAACATGGCTAATTTTAACACCTTGAGTCAAAACCCATTCCACTGGAGTCTTCTCATATCCGTCAATGTTATATCTATGCTTATAGTTGTTCAGGACAAAAACCTGGGAGGTATTGTTGACTTTACACTTTCCCTCGTACTTGAACTCCATCCAACAGTAAATCCTGTCACTGTGCATCCTTACCCAGTCAACTTCTCACCATCTCTATCCCTATGACATTAGAGACTCTATCATCTCTTGTATGGAAAATGCAGTAGACTAAAATACATCAACCTACTTGTATTTCTGCTTCTGTTCTTGATCTCTCATGATTTTCTTTCTACACAATAATCAGAGTGGTCTTTTAAAAATGTAATTCTGATAGCATGGTACTACTCTGCTCAAAAGTCTATGTTATGAATCTTAAAATAAAATTCCTGTACACCCTACATAAGATGTAGACACTAGACAAATGTTTTCTAATGAATGAATAAGGTTAACTGAGACTTGTCTAGTTGACATCTTTAAGTTTTGGAAGAAGTCAAGTTTCTTGGCTCAGACTTTGATACCCTGCCATAGACAGAGAAAACTGTCTTAAGTCTGCATTGCTGCCTCCTGCTCTTGTCTAGTTACTGTGCTGAACTTTTCAATTTCTTGCTCTTTTCCAGCTTTCTCTAAGGTATGGAGGTTTTAGTGATAATGCTTTCAGTACAGTGGTTTATAATTAGCAACTGATGAGAAAGTGTTTCTGAATATGAGGCAAATACATCCTATTTGTCTCGGTTGCCTCAATGGCCATGGACAATTATCTGAATTGACAACACTGAAGAATTTACGAATTAGTCATTCAGGGACTTGAAGACTGGGAATGGCTTATCCAGATTTGTTAGAGAGTATACAGATCAGGAGGAAAAATAGATATTCATATTAAAATAGTACTTAGGACCTCGTTAGATACAGCCTCATTATTTTTTTCTATTCTTCCGTTCTCCTTTTGGCATTTCTTTTATATTTTCCTTTAATTATTTGAAGGATTAAAGTTCAGTATTAATATTACTAGTGGGGAAAATGAAACTTCTTTTTCTTGAGTTAACCTCACCTGAACTTTGAATCTTGTCCCGTGTAATCACTCAGTCTTTGAAAACATTTTTATTGCAGATATATCAGACCTTGTCCTTGCTTCATAATCTGTGGCCCAACGGAGTTGACGTAAGAAGTGTTGTCTGCTCTGTTTCATGTGCTGTGACACTAAAACTCTATAAAAAAATGTTGCATGATGCACAAGACTGTGAAAACCAAAACACCTGCATGGAAAATCATAATTCACAGGTGGGAATCTTTCAAAATTAATTTAATTATTCAATGTTACCATTAAAGATGTGGCAATGCTTATGAGCAGTAGCTATAGGTATAACCTCATCATCAAACAGAAAATATGTGTTTGTCGCATGCTTGTTGAATAAACATGGATAAATATATTGATCACATTTTTTATGAAGGCATTTAGGGCTCATTACAGAACAAGTTAGGATAGTTTGTTTTTTTTTTTTTTTTTCCCCGCAGTGCATTTGTCACCTCTTTCTTCCCTGACCAAAAGACAAATATCTATTTTATTCTTATTCTCAGCTGGTCATCACTGCTGCTGAGAATTTCATAGACCAATTTCAGGGCCTAGGTGGAGATTTAACATTTGTTACAGGTGATGGAGAATGGTGTTGCAGCTGTGATCAGGATGAACCTGGATAACTAGCCATCTACTCTGTTGCCCAGAACCCATGTTTTCTGTTAGAAATACCAATAACTACGCTGTACACTTGGAACTAATATAAAATAATATTGAATGTCAGCTATAACTGAAAAATGAAATAAAAGAATACTACTAATAATAGTGATGTTACTATTAATAATGTAAGCTGACTTGTATGAAGTCTTTATTATGTACTAATACCAGCTACCTTATACACATTATTGTTAATCTTACAGCCATTCAGCAATTTAGGTATTCTTGTTATCCTACTTAATAAGTGAATAAGAATCAAACAGCTAATTGGCTGCAAATCAAAGTTTGTTTGATTCCTGCTAGACTACACTGCCTTAGTATATAGGTCATATCTCCTACTAAGCCCTGGTTTTCCACATAGGAATAGGTGTGACAGTAAGAAGCTTTATTACCTTCCTTGTATTTGTGTTTTAAGGCTATAAATAAATAGATACCAGACACGTCTCCAAGCAGGTGATCATCCTCCACTATTTAAAAAATGCAAGCATTAGATACAGTAAGTGCTGGAGCTCCATTTATTTTGAGAAGTCTTTACTCCTAAGCAAAATAATTATTTATACTGTTTAGAAAAATAAATCATATGCTTGTTAAGAATTTTCTTAAAGCAAAATAACTGAATAGGAATACATCTACTGTGTGGGGAAATTATGAGTAAGATGCTCTAAAATGCTGTTCTTGCATTTCTGAATTTTTACATTGCCTGTGTGTAGGCTGATATTTTTAAATTCATGTTTTTCTAGGACTTGAAGAAACTACCCACACTAAATGAAGCAGCAGATCTTTGCAGAATGCACTGTCTTAGTGTGCTTTTTCTTCAACACCTACCCCTGTTTCAAAGAGCTAAGAGTAGAATCCTTACTTATATTTGGGACAGAACACTTGCACCATTTCTAAGAATGGTATGTGAACCACATGGAATACTATGAATACTATAAATTCAATAAGGCGAAAGTTAGAAGGCAGAGTACTTTGCTTTTTCTGATATTACTTTCATTTCTGCATGCATCTTAAAAATTGCTACCAGCAAACAATGCATGTTTCTAAAAAAAAATAGTCCCATCATATATAAAAGTACTCAACAAGAAAAATTCTCATGGCACATCAATTGCTGGTAGAGTGCATTGCCGTCTTGTTTTAGATTAACAATTAACTCAACAAAAGAAGTTGCATTTTGTAGCAAACTTTAAACTGAGAATATTATATAATCTTTTTTATTATTAATCCTACTATGAGTAAAATTATTTCCATTAGCGTTAGCACAGTATGAGATAAAGGGATGCTAAATTTCAGAAAGCTAAAACAGTCTCTTTGTGAGATATCGAGAAACCCATATAATACAATAAATGAAAGCATAGTTGTATAGTTGTAAAACTGCACTGTTGATTTTATTACCTAGTCATTGTCAGCACAATGATATGCATGCACGTGACATTTTTCTTGTGTACAGGGTGAGGCAAAGGTCAGTTTACAATTATGAGTATGTGAAACACAGAGTTTATTCTTGTATTATTATTTATTAATGATTGTATTATTTTTCATATGAACAACTGCAAACCTACTTTTCCCACCCTCTATTTAAGAAATTCCACCTGATATGTGATTGTGTTTTATTTAGGCCCTAACTTATTAAATGATGTCATAAGCAACTGTTAATTGAAACTATAGCAATAACAATGAAATACCCACTACTTTTCTATCATGACTTTATTATTTTGAGTCAATGGAGGAATATTTACTGTGTTCATGATTGTGATAAGTTTAAAAGAATCATTTCATTTTAGAACTGCAAGGTACCTTGGAAGGTATAGATTGGCCATGTTAACATATGGTTATAAAAAAATGAAGCATAGAGAAGGTAAGTCATTTGAATACAGTCATATATTTTGTTAATGCCAGAACAGTGGCACTGTGTCTTCATAAGTACTCTAGTTCCTTTTCCTTAGTATAAGGCATAGATCATGCTGAGGAAAGTTAAAGGAAGACACGAACATTCTGGGAAGATTTTGTAGTATTAAAACATGCCCCTCTCTCTTCTTACTTTCCAGCTAAAGAGATGTGAATTTTTCATCCTAAAACAACTAAAGGCTAGAAATAATTGGAATGTGAATTTCACTGGCCTACCTGACTTAACTGATAATAGTTTGTGGAAAAACATTGCTTATTATTTTGAAATTGAATATAGTAGAGGTATGTTTTAAATAACTGTGTAGTTAAGTCTTTTACTCATTTTTTGGCGGATGGGTGAAAATTGTATCTGACAAATAATGGTAACGAGCTATTGACTAATTAACTACAATCAGATAGGAAGCTTTCTTTGCAGATATTTTCTATGGAAAGTGCATTTTCACAAGAGGTAAACGGTTCCATTGAGGAACTTGTAAGATTCATTTTTTTCCCCCCAGAACTATTAAACAATATCAGCTATTGGGATGAGGGAGTTTACATGGAAGGACTATGGGAGCTACACCTAGAACACTGATAAATGTTACCATTTATTGTATATCTTTCATACATTAGATAATTTACATGTTATAAAATGACACCATAGCTTTGCTGCTGCTGATTTTGAGCAAGGTATTGATTCTATGAAAACTGGAAAGGAGTGTCAGGTTGGAGTACTATGTGTAGAAATGAAGATGCACAGGGCAGAAGCCCTGCCTCAGTTCAAGTGTGACCTACAGAACTCCTGACATTGACTCCTGACTTCTTCATTCATCATATTGAAGCCATGGGCTGACTTCTCATTGGCCCATCTGGTTTTGTTAAGAGTGATAGAAAAATACAGCAACACTAGTAACAGTTCAAAGGTAGTTTTACTTTCTTATGACATGAGTTACAACATGAAAAATATGCCAGAGCCTGTTCTGTTTTAAGCATCCAATATGATGAGATACTCACAGGCATAAACTTATAAGATAATTCATATACTCAAAATAATATAATATGGTGACTATTACTCAGATTAAAATTTTTTTTTCTTTATTGATTTTAGAGAGAGGAAGGGAGAAGGAGAGAGAGATAGAAACATTGATGGAGAGAACACTGATTGGCCACCTCCTTCATGCCCCACACTGGGGATCTAGCCCACAACCTGGGCATGTGCCATGCCTGGGAATTGAACTGGTGACCTCTTGGTGCATGGGTCAGTGCTCAACCACTGAGCCACACCGGCCAGGCTATTACTTAGATTTTAATTGTTAATTTGAATATATATATATTTTTTCTACCTAGGGCTAAACTTGGAATTGGGTGACACTTTGAAACAGGGCTTTGAGGAATTATGGAACATGGTCTTAACATTATCAGGGGATGGTGATTTTGGAGGACCCGTGCCCATGAGGACAACGTCCAGACCATTTCTTACACAGAAAGGAACATCACTGAGAGGTGCTGACAAGTTTTAAAAGTTGATCTCATTCAGGAAAGAAAAAAGATTAGCAGTACAATCCATGTTTAGAACATAAATCTGATCTTTTCAAGATTTGCCTTTTCTTAAGGGTAGATTTGCTATTAACTTCCACCCCTACACACCTTCTTTGACTTCCCATTGCTTTATTTGTCTGTTTCTTTGCTTATTTATGTACTTATTTATCTAGTTATTTATTCATTTTTAGGACATGATAAAGGGAACTAACTTTTATTAACTACCCATTCTGTCAGATATGCCTTTCATATGAATGTTCTTATATGGTTTTCAAAACAGCCCTACTTATGGCACTATCAATCTTACTGAATAGATAAGAGTTTGGGAAGGTATCTTCAATCACATAGCAACTTTATGGTAGAAAATTAAAATGCAAGTCTGTCTGTCTTCACAGTCAGACACAGAGGGCATCTTAATGGTATCTTTGTTGTATTTTCTACAAAAAGTATATGTTTGTTAAGGCTCATGAGAAGAAACCAGCTTGTATGTAAGTAGACCTTTGGGTATAGTGATTGATAGTTTAGACACTCCTGATTATGTGGAAAATTTTTATTTGAACTAAATAAAATATACAAAGTTTTTAAAAAAGTTTCAACTAATCAAAAAAAAAAAACAAATAATTTTTTTTTTACTATTTCATTGTATTAATACTTATTTGAAAAAATTTAAAACCTTATTTCTTTTGGTCTATGGAGAAATAGTCATATTTCTTACTGTGGTTCAGAATAAATACTTATTTTTTCTAGATTGCATAGTAATTTTTTCACTGTTTCTCAAATGTCTTCAATTACTTGACATAAAAAATTCTACATCTATTCACTCAATATGCATTTACAATTGTGACTTAAAAGGTATAATATAAAGTTGATTTATCCCACCTGATTTGTGACAATTCCATTAAAGTATTATTTATTTTGGAATAAAAGATAAAAACGTTTAATTTTGCTGTTCCACAAACACTTGCATCAGAATGGTAAATTATTAGAGTTTTGTGTTGAAATATTAATTGTATTTCTAAATACTACTAGGATCAAATAAAAGAATTCATAAATTAGGACTCATTCCTCTGAAAGCTGAGATTATAGAAGATTATGCTGGAGATATTTTGTCAGAACTACCTTTTCTAAGCAGGTATTTATAGAAAAACGTTGCCTGTGTGTAATATCTATCTATCTATCTATCTATCTATCTATCTATCTATCTATCTATCTATCTATCTATCTATCATCTATCTATCTGTCATCTATCTATCTATTATCTATCTATCATCTATCTATCATCTCTGGGTATAGCAAACTGGATTTATTATTGTATATATTATACATATATGATTAAAATTTCACACTGGAAGATACATTTTAATGAGTAGTGAATTTCTCTTTATATATGATTGATTATTATAATTTAGAAAACCCATATATGTCTTCATTAAACAACTTTCTTTTATTTCTCACATATATAGGTAGCTCCTTACTTTTTTCTCTGCAACAGGTATGACAAGTTATAGGTATAATTAAGGGTTAGCTGAGGTGTGATAGTAGCCAAAATATAGAAATAAAGGCCAGATATGAAATAAATTATTGATGTGGATCTTGAAATCATCAAGAAAGATATGAGAAGAAAATAATGAGAAAGACAGTAAGCTAGTTTATACCTTCAGTGGAAGAAAGGGAACAGGAAGTGGAAAAGCCTCAAGGAAGGGAGGTTGGAGCTGACAGAGGAGTGGGGCTGCATGAAGCATAATTCCACTAAAATTTAGTCATTGATTATCTGAAATTCCAATTTATCTGCGTGTCCTACATTTTTATTTGCTAAATTTATGAATCTTATATTAGAGTCAAATATTTTAATGAAATGGGAAGGGAAACAGATGTCTTGAAGTAGCAAAGAGGAGCAAGGGGTGTGTGTGTTCAGTTGTCTCTTTAAATATCAACTTCTTGCTGGCAAGTCTTGAATTTTTATCTTTGGCTTTTTGACTCAATCCTCTGAAGTCCAGATTCTGGCTGGATGTCTCGCTGACATCCCAGACTCAATGTGTACAGGCCAAACACCTGATTATCTGGGAGGAACCTCGTGTTCCCACAACATTCCGATCTCCATCTTCTCTTCTCTTCCAGTTTCTCAGGCCAGAAGGCATGGAATCATGCTGGGCTACTATTTCTTTTAAGAAAAAATTTGATTTTAGAGAGGAAGGAAGAAAGAGAGAGAGAGAGAGAAACATCAGTGTGAGAAACATTGATCAGTTGCGTCTTGATCACACCCTGATTGGGGATCAAACCCACAACTTAGGTATGTGCCCTGACTGGGTATTGAACCTGCGACTTTCTGGTACACCAGATGACGCTCCAACCAAATGAGCCACACTGGCCAGGACATACTTGGCTACTCTTTGTAGTTCTTGTACCACATCCAGTCTTTCAGCCAAACTAATTTCTCTACCTCAATAACACATGTAAAGTAATTCCTTTCCTTGTTTCTGCCCACCCTGCACCCCCTGCACAGTCTGTCACTCTCTCTCTATTAATGTGGTAGTTCCCTAATTGGCCTCCTCCTTTTTCCTCCTCTGCCTCCTTCACTGTGTTCTTAGCACAGCTTACACAAGTAATGTTGTGTATATGTGTGTGTGTGTTGGGCTGGGGTGGGGGAATCAGATTATTTCTCTCTGTTCAAAACCTTCCAAGGAGTTTCAACTCAGATGAAAAGGACTACAGGGTTCTACTGCTCTGTGTCCTTGCACCTACTTTCCCTTACCTCTTTGACCTAATTTCCTACTAATCTCTCCCAAATTCTCTTGTTTGTCCATGTTGGCCTCCTTATTATTTACCTCTGCCCCCCAATTTTATAGAGATAAAATTGACATATGTAACATTGTGTAAGCTTTAAGTGTACAATGTGATGATTTGATACATACATGTATTGCAGAATGATCACAATAAGGTTAGTTAACACAGTTGCCACCTCACTTAATTATCTTTTCATGTGTGGTGTGAACATTGAAAACCTACTCTCTTAGCAACTTGCAAGTATATGATACAGTATTGTTAACTTAAGTCACCATGCTGTCTATTACATCCCCAGAACTTATTCCACTTGTAACTAGAAGTTTGCATCCTTTGACCAATATCTCCCCATTTCCCCATCCCCAGTCCCTGGCAGCTACCATTCTACTCTGTATCTGTGAGCTTATTATTTTTATTATTTTTAATTCCACATAGAAGTGAGATCATATGGTATTTGTCTTTCTCTGTCTGACCTATTTCATTTAGCATATGCCCTCTAGGTCTATCCATGTTGTCCCAAATGGCAGAATTTCCTTCTTTTTAATGGCTGAGTGATCCATTGTACTTGTCCATCTATCTATAAATAGATAGAATAAATAGAAATAAATAGAATATCTATCATCTATCTATCATCTATCTATCTATCATCTATCTATCTATAATCTATCATCTATCTATATCTATCTATCATCTATCTATCTATCTATCTATCTATCTATCTATCATCATCATCTACCTTATTTTCTTTACCCATTCGTTAATGGATACTTAGATTGTTTCCATGTCTTGGCTATTCTGTTTCTTGAACATAATAGTCCCACATCACAGCTTATCTACTCGCTGTTCTATTTTTTCAAAATGTTCTGACTCAGACGACCGTTTACCCATTGCTCAAATACCTCCCCAGTAAGGCTTTTTCTGACCATTCCTCTTAAGATCATACCATCTCCTTCTCCCAGAACTTACTATTCTGTCTCCCTGCTTTATTTTCCTCCTTCATGCTTTTTACCATCTGGCATAGTATATATATTCATGCATTGCATCACGATGGTTCAGGGGACCCGGGAGCCTCTTCTTCCCATAACCCAGCCCCTGGGTACACATATGCACCTGCACGCGCGTGCACACACACACACACACACACACACACACACACACACACACACACATACATTCATGCCCTCAAACTCATTTCCCTTTCTTTTCTCGTTATCTCTTTCGTTCCAGTCCCTTTTTGTTCTCTTTCTCCCTCTCTCTCCCTCCCCCCTTCCTTTTTATTTTTTCTCTCTTTGAACTTTATTTTTCTGGGTTGCTTTCGATCTCTGCTTTCCTTTTCTCTGTCCTACTCTTCTTTCCTCTTCCTGGCATCTGTTCTCCCCCTGACGGCATCTCCCTCCACAGCCCTCTCTCTGTCCCTGCAAGTGTTTAGATACGTTTAGACATACTTACAGATACTTACCATTTTGTTATAATTCAGCCCCGTAGGATGCTTCACAGGTTTGTAGCCTTGGAGCTATAGGTTATAACATATAGTCTAGGTGTGCAGTAGGGTATACCATCTAGGTTTGTGTCAGTGCACTCTATGATGTTCACACAACGAGGAAGTGGCCTACCAAGGCATTTCTCAGAACATATCCCACCATTAAGTGATGCACGACCTGATTTTGCCTTTATATTTTTTTGTTGTCTATAACCCTCTGTTTGTATATAAAACCCACAACCATTTGAAAACAACTGTTTTTATTCATTAACATATTATTGGCATGTAGAAGAATATCTGGCACATAGTAGGAATGCAATGAATATTTTAGGACAAATGAATAGTAGGTTCATGGGTATCACTTAGCAGGTTCATGGTATCACTTATTCGCTAACGATTTTTCTCTATGCTTGAAATATTTCATAAGAGCGCACACGTACACAAAAACAAACAAGCTAAAATAATTCAGATGTGTCTCTCAACTTTGAAAATATCATCTTTATTATTTGGTACCTAACTCAATTTCATATACAAATTCTTAATATGCATTTATTATTGTTATAGAGATGAGAGTTCTGCAGATATCTTTGCCCACATTTTGACTATTTTTTCACAAGATCCATTGCTTTAAAAAAACATATTTTGTTCATGTACAATAATAAAATTAAGGGTAGAGATGCATTAAGTAAGTTCATGGCTTATAGTAGAAACTGAAAAAAATTATATGCGTATTATAACGTATGCTTTTTAATTTATCCCCAGTGATGACCCAGCCATTACATCTCTTTCCAAGAAGAAGGAATTTGATGAGTTCACACATTGGCATTCTTCTAGACCTCTCACTGATGATTTTGAAAGGACAAGGTGCAATAATAATGGCAAGTATAACTAATGTCGTCAACATTTTCAACATTCTTATATATTAAAGAATTGTATTCTATGTGTAAGAAAAAAATGAGTCATCTGAGATTAATAAAATTTAATTTACAGACTTCCCCTTCTCTGTTTCAGGCCACTATATAAATTTCCAATACCTTTCACATCAGAACCAGGAAGAAGCTAGTTTCCATAGTATGAAAAATGAGATTTCAGTCAGTCTATTGAGGGAGGAGAGTGGTTTTGTTGAGAGTGGTTTTGTTGAGACAGGGATTTAAAAAAACTTTTTCTTAGGTTGCTACAAAAAATCACTTCACATGTTATTATTAATGTTTCTTTAGTTCTTTGTTCTCAATAAAAAGTTATGTTGTATTATCTCATGAGAGCCAATACCTTTATCAATCCCAATATATTTCATTATTTGCCCAAATTACTAATTATATTATTTACTTGCTTTAAAATACTGCTTAATAATTATCAATTAAGTAAAGTAAGTAATAAATATTCAAATAATTTAGTAATTATTTTGGCAGTGAAATATTAACGGGCCAATAAAGTTTTCTCATCTTGTTATCTTCTTGGATTTAAAACTGATCCAGAAAAATCAGTATAGGAAACATTAACAATTGGTTGCACACAATTACGACTCGTTAAAGACTGGAAAGTAGCAGCCAGATTGGGATTGTAGGAACCTGACACACTCAGTCACCATCTATCCTATGCATTCAGAGTTACTGTGTGCCCAGCTTTGGGCTGAGCTCGGGAATACAGCCGGGAACATGAAGATATCTTCCTGCTTTTGTAGTGCTCACAGTCTAGCTAGGAAAGCAGATGTTAAATGAACCATTACAGAGATACTTATTTAAAATTATGATGAATACTACAATCAGGTGCAAAGGGTGTGACGAGGGTAGGCTTGAGGGGTTGGGCAGTTTTCAAGCTGAATCTACAAGATGAAGATCGCTAGCTAGGCATGTGGTAGTGCTGGACCAATGAGGAAGTAGCCAGAGAGCCTGTAGTGCAGAGTGATGTGAGATGAGTCTGAATCACGCAGGCTTTAGGGAGGATTCCGAATAACAGAAGAGCAACAGGAAGCCACGAAAATGTTCACACCGCATGCACAACATGATTGGGTTTAGATACATTCCTTTCAGTTGTGTCCAGGACTGGGCAGACTAAGCATAGTCTGCAAATCGGTAATACCTTGATCCAGAGCCCATTTATGATACTACCTGGAACTTGATGAGTTGTTTTAGTCAAATATTTCTGACCTGATTTGAGGGTACTTTTCAGAGACACTGCTTCTAAATTGGAAGCTCTTGCCCAGTGTTCATGTACTTTGTTCTTGGCACTATGCCCAGTGCCATCAAAAATGCCAAAGAGCTGAAGTTTCTGGTATGGTTCTGATGTTCTAAAAGAAAAATAAAGCATAAGCTTGCCATTGACTTATTCTTTGGGATATACCTCTAACACCCAATAGGTTGTACTAAAGTGAAAATGCAAATGAGACTGATTTAGATTCTACCATGTTATTTAAATATGGCTCAAATAATTTGAGTTTCTATATCTCAATCTTTAATGTGTCTATAATTAGATTAGTGCAAGTTTTCAGGGTGTTTGTCAAAGCCTTTTTCATGAATGCTTTCTAAATGAAATTCTTATTTATAGAGAGCATTGTCAGCATATTTTAATAATGCATCTGTTTCCCACAGCTACATCCAAAGATGCCAAAGAAAGAAGGGACATGCAGAAATTACATCATTTTTATCACGTCTTTGGAAAATCCTTGGTAGGAAGTGACAAATCAGTAAGGATTGTAAGAGAAGGAGCTCTGCCATCGCTGGAAAATTCTTCACAGCAAAGGAAAAAAAAGCGCCAGGTACATTCTTGGTCTGCCAGGGCTCAGTCCTGTGGGGCTCCTAAGCTCTACTCCTTCCACGTGGATCTTCTTTAACAATACGCAAATTGTGGACCTTGGTGATCTCATGTGTTTTCAGAGGAGAAGAAAAACTGTTTCTAAAAAAATAATAATTACTGTCAAATCAACTATACTCTAAATACTAACCATGAATTGCAAAGGATACTTTTTAAAATACTTGTTAAAAAAAAAGTATAATGAAGAAAATAAAATTCGAATAAGATTTTAATATTTTAGTGCATATCCTTGTAGTCATTTTCCCTTCATGTTATTAAAAATTTTTTAAAACACATTTCATGGCTGTATAATCTCTAATATGACATGCCAGTGTTTGTTTTATTATTTCTTTTGAAATGTAGAAAAATAGGTAAAAAAGAGAAAAGTCTATACTCACATTCCACAGATAAGCAGAATATATTGACACACATTTCATTTTATTTATGATGTGTGTTTTCTTCCAAAAAAATTAAAAAACCTTCTATATACTTTTAATCTATTTCCCCATCTATCAATATAATGATCATTTTTTTCTGTGTTATTAAATATGCTAAATAATAACACATTGTTTTGAAAATTTAAACATGATTTTAAACAAGATTATAAAGGCCAAACACATTCAGTATATTAGATTATCTAGAAAAGTATTTAAAAATATATAATTTTGCCCCACCCCCAAGGTACTTATTCCCTGCCCTGTTGCCCATCTCCACCGAGCCCCTGACCACCCCCCCCCCATCCCTCTGGTCATCACCACAGTGTTGCTTGTGTCTATGAGTTATGTATATATATATATATGTGTGTGTGTGTGTGTGTGTGTATATATATATATATATATATATATATATATATATATATTCTTTGGCTAATCCCTTCACCTTCTTTCATCCAGTCCACCCTCCATCCTCTCCTCTGACAGCTGTCAGTCTGTTCCATGTACTCATACCTCTGTTTCTATCTTGTTTTTCAGTTTATTTTGTTCATTAGATTCCACATATAAGTGAGATCATATGGTATTTGTCTTTGAATAGATTATTGAATTTAGCATAATACTCTCTAGGTCCTTTCATGGTGCCGAAAAAGTTTAGATTTCCTTCTTTTTTAAGGCTCTGTAGTATTCCATTGTGTAAATGTACCACAGCTTTCACCCACTCATCTACTGATGAAGATTTGGGCTGTTTTCAGATCTTGGCTATTGTAAATAATGCTGCTATGAACATAGGGGTGCATATATTTTTTTCTGATTGGTGTTTCACAATTCTTAGGATATATTTCCAGAAGTGGATTTGTTGGGTCAAAAGGCATGTCCATTTTTAATTTTTAAAGGAAACTCCAAACCACTTTCCACAGTGACTGCATCAATCTGCATTCCCACCAATAGCGTAGTAGGGTTCTTTTTTCTATATCCTCACCAGCACTTGTTTGTTGATTTATTGATGACAGCCATTCTGGCAGGTGTGAGGTGATACCTCAATGTGGATTTAATTTGCATCTTTCTGGTGATAATGACATTGAGCATGTTTTCATATGTCTATTGACCATCTGTATGTCCTCTTTGGAAACGTGTCTATTTAGGTGCTTTCCCCATTTTTAAATTGAATTGTTTGTCTTTTTGGCATTGAGTTGTAGAAGTAATTTTTTTCTTTATTATTATTAATTATATTTTTTATCACCATTTATCCCCCATATCCTTTTCCACTTCCACCCATCCCTTTCATTCCCACTGTCTAGTGACTTTTTCCAAGTATTTCAATCTTTACATATTTACAAAAATACACACAATTTAAAATGTACGTGTGGTTTTATTATTTTTTCCTATTAATGTGTTTTGAAGAACTTTTATTTTCAATAAACTAGGAATGGCCTTTTTTTAAAATCTTCACCTGACACATTGATTGGTTATCTACTGCCTGTGCCCCGACCAGGGCTGGCGAGGATCAAACCTGCAACCCAGGTACGTGCCCTTGACTGGGAATTGAACTTGTGAGTCTTCAGTGTGTGGGCTGATGCTCCAACCACTGAGCCACACTGGCTAGAGCTAGGAATAAACTTTAAAAATATATTTTCTTAATATTATATAATACATTTATCTTTCCATTTTTATTATATATGTTTCCATTATCTTATTATTATAACCTGTGTTATGATAAACAGAATTTTATTATAATGTTTTACACTATTATTTAAAACTTTGTTTTTATTGATTTTTTAGAGAGAGAGGAAGGGAGAGAGAGAGAGAGAAACATCGATGTAAGAGAGAAACATCAATCAACTGCTTTCTGCAGGCCCCCTGCTAGGGATTGAGCCTGTAACCCAGGCATGTGCCCTGACTGGGAATCGAACCAGGACCTCTCAGTCCATGGGACAATGCTCAAACCATTTAGCTACACCAGCCAGGCTCTACATGTTTTAAATTACTTAGAGAATTAATTGTTCGACCAAAGATTATGAAAGATTTTAGGGCTTTTGATATACATTTGATATTCATTTGATATACATTCTCATTTAAGAGGGCTATCCAAAATTTTATTTTTATCTTAACATTAATACACATAATAATAATATGTTATTGATTTATTGAACTCTTAATGTGAAAAGCATTGTGCTAAGTTACATAGTTAGGAGTCATTAACCCAGGATGGATCCTAGAACCTGCCCTTTTAATCACTCAGCTATAATGATTATCATCATCAGTGTATGAGAGTGCTTGCTTTTTTCTTTGTTGTTTATGTATATATGTATTTAATATACATTATATATATATATAACTGTTGAAAGTATTATAGATGTCCTCCCTTTTTTCCCCATCGAACCCTTTCTCCCCACTCTCACTCCTCTCCTGCTTTCCCCAACCTCATGTCTGTGGCCGTTGGTTGTGCATATGTGTATATCAGGTCTTTGGTTTATCTTTCCAATCCCTCCCACCCCCTCCCCATCCCTCTGAGGTTTGTTAGTCTGTTCCCTGCTTCCCTACTCTGGATCCCTTTTGGTCAACAGTTTATATAATGAATCCAATTATGCATTGTATTCCATAAATAAGTGAGATCATGCAGTACTTGTCTTTCTCTGACTGGCTAATTTCACTTAGCATAGTACTCTCCAGGTCTCTTCATGTCGTCTCGAAGGGTAAGAGATCTTTCTTTCTTACAGCTGCATAGTATTCCATTGTGTACCATAGCTTTTTTATCCACTCATCTACTGATGGCACTTGGGCTGTTTCCTGATCTTAGCTTTTGTAGATAGCGCTGCTATGAACATAGAGGTGCATATATTCTTCCTGATTGATGTTTCAGGCTTCTTAGGATATATTCCAAGAAATAGAATCAGTAGGTCAAATGGCAGTTCCATTTTTAATTTTTTGAGGGAACACTATATTGTTTTCCATAGTGGCTGCACCAGTCTGCATTCCCACCACAAGTGTACTAGAGTCCCCTTTTCTTTACACCCGCGCCAGAAATTGTTGTTTGATGATTTGTTGATAGCGGCCATTCTGGCAGGTGTGAGGTGACATCTCATATTCATTTTAATTTTCATCTCTCTGATGATTAGAGATGATGAGCATTTTTTCATATGTCTCCTGGCCATTTGTGTGTCCTGGTGGGGAAAGTGTCTTTTCAGGTCATCTGACTATTTTTTAATCAGATTGTTTGTTTTCCTTTTGTTGAGTTGTATGAGTACTGTATATATTTTAGATATTAAGTCATTATCCAATGTATCATTGGCAAATATGTTCTTCCAAAAAGTGGGTTCCCTTTTCATTTTGATGCTGGTTTCTTTTGCCATGCAGAAGCTTTTTAGTTTGTTGTAGTCCTATTTATTAATTTCTCCTTTGCTTCTCTTGCCCTATGTGGTGTATAAGTAAAAATACTTCCATGTATGATGTCTCAGATTTTGCTGACTACATTTTCTTCTAGGATTTTTTGGTTTCATGAGTGACATTTAAGTCTTTTATCCATTTTGAGTTTATTCTTGTGTATGGTGTAAGTTGGGGGGTCTAGTTTAATTTTTTTTGCTTGTACCTGTCCAATTTTCCCATCACCATTTATTGAAAAGACAGTCTTTTCTCCATTGTATGCTCTTGCTAAGTTACACAGTTAGGTTTCATCAACCCAGAGTGGACCCAAGAACCCGCCCTTTTAACCATTCAGCTATAATGATTACCATCATCAGTATATGAGAGTGCTTGCTTTTTTTCTTAATACCTCTCAATAAGAGGTTTTAACCACAATTCTTTGAACACAAGTGGTATCTTTTCAAAATTTTGAGTACACTTCTGTTTGTTCCCTGGTGAATTTCTTTCATGTCTTTTACTATTGCTTATTAATTGCTAGGAGCTATGCCTATTTAAAACATCATATCTTGCCCTGAATAATTTGGCTCAGTGATTAGAACATTGGCACATGAACCAGAGTCACAGGTTCAATTCCGGTCAAGGGCATGTACCTCGGTTGTGGTTTGATCCCTAGCCCTGGTTGGGGCTGTGTGGGAGGCAACCAGTCAATGTGTTTTCTCACATTGATGTTTCTTTCTCTCTCCCTCCCACTCTAGCTGAAGATAAATGGAAAAATATCCTTGGGTGAGGATTTAAAAAAAATAAAATTAAACATCATATCTTTGTCATATATGTTGGAAATATTTTCTTAGTTTTTATTCTCTATTTTGTACTTAAGGAAGTTCATTATTTTCTGGATGTTATTCCTGTAGACCTCTCTCTGCAGAGATACCTTTTTACCTCTGGTTAGGCTGTGTCTTTCCCATGAAGAGCTAACATCCCTTAACTGGTACTCTGTGGTTCTGAGATGGTCCATTGTTTCCATACTGAGGAGGTGGAAAGTGGAGGAGAGGTATATAAGGATATGCCCTGAGTTCTGGACAAGGAAGTGTGTTACAGTGATTGGCTATGGCCACATTCTCTTTTTCATACAGTAGTCCAGATATTATAATATTAGATGCAATGTCCTTGTACTGCACTTAGACTTATTATTTCTCTTATTGGAATCACTAGGCAAAAGTTACATTTGTTTTTCTATAACGCATAGCATGCTACTCTCCTGGTCAGTTTTTGTGATTATATTACCCTTTGCATAGTTTTATAAAAGATATATATCCTAATTGGATATGAGTTTGAAATGGTTTTGGAGACCCAACCCCTCAGACTTGGAATTCCTGAAGACTGGTTTTCAGCACATAGATTAAGAAAATAAAAGCTGAAGAGATTAGCCAAGGAAAATATATGCATAGCCTGTGCACACAAATGACAATGTGGTGATGGCCAGAGGGGTGGCTGAGTGGAGGCGGGCAAAGGTGGGGGAAATGAAGGACATTTGTAATAATGTCAACAGTAACAATAGAGTAAAAGAAAAGAGAGAAATAATAGCTGTGGATAGGAAGAAGTAAGAAGGGAATGTTGAATTATCATGTTTGTATAAATATCGATGCTGACATTTAATTATTTGGGACCCCCTAAGGTCCTCTTTGATGTGCTACTTCAATGTGCTAAGTAGTAAACTAATGGCTTGAGGTATTAAATATTTCTTTCAAAAACATCAAATTGAAAGATGTTCTCTCTTTGCCATATCTGTTGAGAGAATTAAGACCATTCTCAGTGATCAGACTGTCCATATTCCAGAAAATGTTGACATCACTGTGAAGGGACGTATGGTTATTTTGAAGGGCCCCAAGCACCCTGCAGAGAGATGTCAATCACATCAATGTAAAACTCAGTCTTCTTGGAAAGAAAAAGAAGAGGCTTTGGATCGATCAAATAGTGGGAAATAGAAAGGAACTGGCTGTCATTTGCACCATCTATAATCAAATACAGAACATGATTAAGGGTGTTAACACAGCTCTGTTACAAGATGAGGTCTGTGTATACTCATTTCCCCATCGACATGGTTATTCAGGAGGATGGTTCTCTTATTGAAATCAGAAATTTCCTGGGTGAAGAATACATCTGCAGAGTTCAGATGAGGTCAGGCATTGCTTGTACAGTTTCTCAAGCCCAGGAAGATGAGTTAATTCTTGGAGGAAATGGCATTGCATTGTATAAAATTTAGCTGCTTTGATTCAGCAAGGCAGACAATGAAAAAAAAGATTATCAGAAAAATTTTGGATGGTAGCTATGTTTCTAATAAGGGAACAGTTTAGCAGGCTTATGAATAAGATCTAAGTTGTCCAGCTATAGAAACAGCAAGATGCCAGTTGATTCCTCAGCGTTCTTCGTGATACTTTAAAGATTCAATAAAAGCTTTGTATTGAAAAAAAAAAGTCACATGTATTATCATGAAAACATTTGTTTTATTGTTGATTTTTTTGTTGTTATTTTAGAAGACAAATGCAGAAAAATTTATTGAGGAAAATCAAAAGAGACAGCTAGCTAAACTAGAGAAAAAAGAGGAAGAAAGATGGAATAACTTGTCTGTATATATTGAAAAGGAAATAAAAGAAAATCCTAATTCTGGAATAAAAAGACTAGAAGATTTTCTCCAAACATGCCCTGTTAAATCTGTAAAATTTGCTGCAGAAATGGTAGGATTGGATGCCTGTTTCAAACTATGGATGGAATACTGTTTAAAACCAGGTACATACAATATTAATTTTAGAAATTTCTTGAAATAAAAGGTAAGTCATTGATATCGGCCTCATATGCTGATTCTTCTGGCCTGTGTGACTTCAAGAGCTCATTGATATCTGAAGAGTAAGACGATTTTCTTTCACTTGATCCACTAATAACAAACATTATGGCTATTTGTGTATGTGCTGGGTATTGGTGAATAATTTTAACTTGAAATTCGATTCAATAAACAGTTCCTCAAGGCCAGTCATGAACTGAGTACCTTATTAGGTGTCCATAGGGCTTCTGACAAGAAGAACATGAGACTTGCTCTGAAGGTGCTTAATGAACAGTCTCTTAAGGGAGTTAGGCACATGCTAAACTAACTGCAATAGAGTGTGATGACCACAACCAAAGCTATACACAGTACATTTTCATGTAAAGTAATCTATAGCTTCTGTGACTTTAGGAAAAACAATGTATAGCGAAACTAATTTTACCACAGGCTAATTGATATCAACAGAAATTAATTTCCTAAGGCATCTCATTAGTGTTACAATGAAATAATGTTGAATAAAATGTTATTGGAGCGCTGACTGTATATATGTATATAAATTCTCACAATTCTTTGAGGTGGTTCCATTACCCTGATATTACATGTAAGAAATTGAGGTTTTAATAGAACAAATTATGTGCCCAAAGGTCAGTGACAGGGCAAGAACTTTGATACAACATTCTTACTCCAAAGCATATGCAGAAAATAAATGATTAATAAATTGGGACACAACAGTGTTTGGATGAGGGCAAGAGAATGAATATTTTTTTTATTGCAGGGAAGATGAAGATACTTATCTCTTAACTGTGTTCACAGGGAAGTAAATATTAAACAAATAAAATATTGAATGGCCCCCTTAAAAAATCTCAGTTCAGCCCATTCTCCACATTAATGCTTGGGGTTAATAATAACTGCTGTCGTTATTGTATCATTTTATATACATTAACTTGTTTAGTCCTTATAATAACCATATGAGGTCACACCTATTATTAGTATCCCCATTATCTATATAAAGAAAAAGAAACTTAGAAATGTAACTTTTCCAGTTTCTAAATCAAGGACAGACGAGTTAACTTTGAATTTCAGATAAATAGCAATTTTATTTTTACTATATATTGTGAACTATATATATCTCGAACTGTATTGCCTGTATTTTTTCTTTTGCTGAAGCTGGCAATCCTGCTTTTAGCTGCTATGTAATGGACTAGTCACTATGAATTACTCAATTATTATGAGTGATTCATATGATTATGCTTTTCTTATCTTGTCATAAAATTAAATCAGCGTTGGGGTTTTATTATCAATATCTTATATAACTTAAGTTATGCATAACAATTTTGTTTTTTACAGAAGCAGAATCCAGAGATATAAGCATAATAATTAGCTTGATGAAAAGGATTCATATAATCCATGGAAAATATTCAGTACTAGTAAAAAATACACATCGACAAAAATTAGCCAAATGTCTAAAATACATTGGATTTGACAACTTGGCACACTCATTATGTCCCCAGGTAGATGCTATAAAAATATTACATGACATTCATATCTGTGTACATGTATAAAATATTTTATGGAGTATATTTCGAGTTAATGCTTATTAGATTAAGTTAATGGTTAGCTATGTATCATCCTGTATACACACAGATCTAATGTTTTGATGAATTTGTTTTCACCTAGAATGAATGCTTTATATGTAATAGGTGTTCTATGGTCTAAATGTTTGTGTCCCCCACTCTGTTTAACTACCGGAGTGGTGGTATTTGAAGCTGGAGCCTTTGGAAGGTGATTAAGTCATGAGGGTGGAGCCCTCATTAACAGTATCACTGCCCTTGTAAAAGAGACTCCGCATTAAGGTGTTCAGGATGGAGTGCCATGCTGGCAACTTATTCTGAACGGGTTCCAGAAAGAAGGTTCTTGGTTCTTTGCAACTTTTCTGAAAGTTTGAGATTTATTTGAAATAAAAATGTATTAATCAACACACACACACACACACACACACACACACACACACCCCAGAAAGCTAGCTCCTCCCTTCATCATATGCAAAACAGTGGCTGTACAAGGGCAGGCTCTTACCAGACACCAAATCTGCCAGGGCCATGATCTTGAACTTCCCAACCTTCAAAACTATGAGAAGTAAATGTTTGTTGTTTGCAAGCCATCCAGTTTATGGTATTTTTGTTGTGCAGCCCGAATGGATTAAGCACAGGGGCTCCCCATTTTACTTAGAATACATTTTTTACCAAAGCCCAAAGGGCCCTACATAGCTGGTCCCTGATTACCAATCTGTTATCATTTCGAATTGTTCTGTTTGTTGAGTGGATAGGATTCCTTTTTGCCTCAGTATTGCGTCAGCTGTTTCTTCCATAGGAATGTTTATTCCCTCTGAGTTTAGTGTGGCTTACTCCTTTGTTGTAAATGTTTTGGGTGAAACATCATGACATCAAAAAACATTTTATGGCTGACTAGAAACCGTCCAATTTTAAGTAGCATTTCCTCCACATTTCCCTCCACTCATGAAGTCACTAAGACATTTATTTCTCTTTCTTAACAGCATATGTCACTATCTCAATTTTGTGTGCATGTGTTTTATCCATTAGTTTATTGTTTGTTCCTCAGAATTAGAATATACATTCTCTAGGAGCAGGGACATTTTATTTCCTGTTTATTGCTATGCCTCTGGAAGTAAAATAAAAGAAAGGATGAGTACAGAGAAGGCAAGAATTCTCCTATAAATGTGATTGTTGCCTGTAAATTTTGTTGTCCGTTTATCTGGAAGATTTCTGAAGACTTCTGGAAAGAACTAACATTCATCCTCAGAGAAATGAATCAATTTAATTTTCTCCCCTAAGAAAATTTTACTTACAGTTATTTCTGTTTGATGTTCTTACATATACTGACTCCTTTAAGCTTCTCATTTGTCTTCACCTATTACTTCAAATGAATGTGTTTGAAGAGAAAAATTTTTTTTTTTTTACATCAAAATACCTCTCCAATAATGACTAGAGAGCCATGATATAGTGTATTTAGAAACTGGGCAGATGTGCTTGCGTTTTTGCTTGATCTTGGTCAAGTGGAGATTCTTTCCATTCACAGAGGAATGGAAGGGTGGGGAGAGAAGAAGCCAGTACAGGATGACAGCCAGAAAGACACATAGTTAGCCTTGCATTTTCTCCTGAACTAGTCCTTCCTTTAATGGCTCTATAACTTTTCTGAATTTTCACACTGACCCACCACCGAGATCCAGCCTTTATCTACTTTGCCCAGTCCTGAAGAATGCTAACAGGGCCCACACATCCTTTCTGGCTGCATCTCGTTTCCATAATCTCAGGATGACTTTAAGCCAATCCTTGGCAATTCTATAGACCCCTCTGGAAAGCTCTCCTAGGTAGCTTTTCTCTTTTCTATCATACTTCATATCCAGAATGAGAAAAGCCCTGCATTTTGATTAGCCAAGTGCCATAGCTAAAATTCAACGGCAATATTTAACAAGGCTTTTGAAAGCCTGTGATATGGAAATAAATTACACTGCAAAAAAATATCTCAATGCAGAATATGAGATGAGCTCATAACCTAGGTCCAATCACAGTGTGGACAAGACGTCTCTTTTTTTGGCTGCTCTGTCCTTACCTCATATGGCAAGAGTGTATAGCATATTTCCCACCACGGGAGAGCGATGGTTCCCCATTCCTTTGATGGACTGGAGAAATTGGGGAAAAAAGAGTTTTTCTAAATAAATTCACAAGCTCTAGGAAAGCAATTCTTTCTTTCTTAAAAAAAGAAACACAAAACAGAAACAAAACACATAATAATAATAATAAAAACCTAGATGATGATGGACAGAATTCTAGCTCCTCACTGTTTCTAATTCCAGATATGAAATCTCTGATCCAGCTCTGAAATGGGACATTTGCTTTATTATTGCATGACCAAAACTATTATATTTTTTTACTTATAAAAAAATAAATGGAAAAAATACTGGTCATTTAAAATTTTTAATTATATTTTTGGTAATTTTTAAAAGAAAGATTTTCCTTCTTCAAACCATCAATATTTAAAAACATGGTTTGTGGCTAATTCTCAGCTAGAACACCATAAAATATGAATGTATATTTTCCATGCTTTGCTAATATTATAATCAAGTGTTATCAAAGCCAACAGTGGCCACATCAAATATGTGAGTTTATTGTGACAGTGGATTCCTCTGTGATAAGTTGTTTAACCATTGGGTAGAATTGTTTGCATAAAATAATTTCTGAGATAATATATACTCATTATATAAAAACATTTTCTTTACTAAACATGTCCTTTTAAAATTGGTAAGAGTTCCTTAATTGAAACACAAATTGTATTGTGTGTGTGTGCATGTGTGTATGCATACAAGGTTGTTCAAATTTAACAATTATCAAAGACTATGCTGATTTGCAATGTAAAGATTAACTTCATATTGCATTTTCCTTATATTCTATGGAACACGGTACTTCATATAATATAGTATTTAAAAACTTATAATGAAGATGTAATACCTATATCTCATCCTCCGTTGTAAGCAATTGTGAAACATGAAATAATAATTTTGTTGAAGCAAAGCAAACTGCAACATGATTGGTAATAATTTCCTTGCCCAGATTAAAAATTATAAATATGAAAATCTAATATGTAATATTTACTTTAGATGCAGGAATCAGGTACTAAGAAGGATATTTCTAAATATTCAGTTCGCATGGGAGCAGCTCGGTTTCAGTTAACATATATGGGCCCTTACTTATTTCAAGAAGAAAGAAGTGATCCTGATCCCAGGGTGCAACATTTTATACCAGACACATGGCAGGTATTTACCAAAAAAGTCTGCAGCATGGAAAAGCGAAGAAACTTGATGGAAACTGTTGTTTCACATCTCATTGTGTGTAACACATTTTGGATTTTATCACTATGGAATGCAACGTAGTGACAATAAAAATGGAGAAAAGAGTCCATTGAAATGAAAAAAGAATTGGTTCTATTAAGTCATAGAGCCTGGATTAAAAATGAAGCTCTCTAACTCCAGTTAGACTGCTCTTAACCATTCATTATACCATGGAATTATTATCTATATCAATTTAATTTCAAAACATAGTACCTCATGTTTCATGATATATATTTAGCAAGAGTTTACTGGTTTTTGAAAGTAGTCCCAATGTTTCAGATTGTCCCAATGTTAAACAGCAGAGTCATTCATAATTTAGTATGATAAATAGTGATAAATATATTGCCTATTACATGTGTGCATTTTTTTTAAAAAACTGCTATTTTCTACACTGTATGAATTTGTTGAACTTAGTTTATAAATAGAAAAATAGATAAAGAACAGCAGATTTTTATTTTAGTCTATGGTTCCCCAACTCAAGCTAAAAAAGAATGCAGAGAGCTGGGCTGCATGATAACCTGGGTAGGCCCCTTTGTGATGGATCTGTTTATTTGGGTATTTTTATCCAAGTTTAAGTAAATAACTTTTTAATAGAAAGTGAGAAATGAATTATTTCTATATAACAGAAAATGATGATTCCCTTAAATACCTGCCATTGAACGCTAACTGCTGTGTCTCAGAAGAAATTGTGAATACTAATTTGAAGTAGATATAGTTGTCTTTAAATTAAAATTTGACACCATATATGTATTTGCAAAATGAAGTGTAATTTTTTTTTTTTTTTAATTTAGAGGGAACTTCTTGATGTTGTGGATAATAATGAATCAGCTGTGATTGTTGCCCCGACCTCATCGGGGAAAACGTATGCTTCCTACTACTGCATGGAGAAAGTGCTGAGAGAGAGCAATGATGGAGTGATCGTGTATGTTGCTCCAACAAAGGTAATGTGTGCACATGACGCTATGTATATTACAGTAATTTTCCTCAGCTGCCGTTTGTGTCCTTAATCATAGAGAGGTGGCAGAGTGTACAGGTTCCGGCATTGCAGTCACGGATGTGAGTGCTTTATGGGCTGTGTGATCTTGAGCCAGTTTCTTTATTCTTTTTTTCTTTTCTTTCCTTTATTGATTTTTGAGAGAGAGGAAGGGAGAGGGACAGAGAGATAGAAACATCGATGAGGGAGAACATCAATTGACTGCCTCCTGCATGTCCCCCCCTGGGGATCAGGCCCACAACCTGGGCATGTGTCCTGACCGGGAATCGAACCGGCGACCTCTTGGTGCATGGGTCGATACTCAACCACTGAGCCAAACCAGCTGGGCTAGTTTCTTATAGTATACAAGAGTCCCCCTTATCTATGGTTTTACTTTTCATGGTTTTTGTTTTCCATGGCCAATCATGGTCCAAAAATATTAAATGGAAAATTACAAAAATGAATAATTCGTGTTACTTGCATGCTGTTCTGAGTAGCAGGATGAAATCTTGCACCATCCCATTCTGTCCTGCCCGAGACATGAGCCATCCAGAGTCTACCATATGCACTCCCTGCCCAGTAGTCTCTTAGCAGCCCTTTGGGTTATCAGATTGACTGTGGTGGCATTGAAGTGCTTGTGTTCAAGGAACCTTATTTTCCTTAATAAAGGCCCCAGATTGCAAGAGTAGTGACATTGGCAACTTGGATAGGCCAGGGACAAGCTGTAAAAGCAACATGGTATTTATGTATAGGAAAAAACAAGGTTCTGTATATAAGATTTGCTACTACCCCCAGTTTCATGGATAAGCGGGGATTGCTGTACTTTTATTCTAAGCATTAAGTAAGATGATGTATTTAAGGCATCTAATATATTGTCTGGGTGTAAACCGTGATCAATAAATGGTACCATGAACCCTTGTTTTTTATTCATTTTATTTCTTAAACGTCCTTAGGTCCAGCACTTATTTTTTAAAAATCAAGATTTCACACTTTTGAGAATCTTACTAAAAGAAACCATTTGATGATATCTGTGCCAGGGCTAAGAGAGTATAGATAAGTTCACAAGAGAGCGCAGCAGAGGGACAAGCAGCCCTTCCCATTTTGCCTTCATGCTCTGGGGAGTAGCCCCTGACTACCACAAATGCTGCAGCCTTCTTCCTTTACAGCAACCTGTGGAGAACGATGTCTAGAGACTCTTGGCCAAATCAGAATTTTCCTCTTCACCTGGAAGGGATTTGGGGTATTCCTTCCTCTCTCTTTCCCAAGGAGAATACTTCACTGCAGGCCTTAAAGATGCAGTGAGAACGCTAGTGTTGGGGGGATCCTCCCTATGCTATCACCCAGCCCTCTCACGTTACAGATGAGAAGACTGAGGCTCAGTAAAGTTAGGTAATGTGCTTATTATTGGAGGACCAATTAGTTGTGTAAACATTTTTTTTCAAATTTATTTATTGATTTTTAGAGAGAGAAGAAGGGAGAGGAAGAGAGTGATAGAAACATCCATGAGACAGAACAATGATTGGCCGCCTCCTGCATACTCCCCACTAAGGATTGGGCCCACAACCTGGGCCTGTGCCCTGACAGGGTATCAAACCAGTGACCTCTTGGTGCATGGGTCAGTGTTCAACCACTGAGCCAGGCTGGCCAGGCTCAATTAGAGTTTTTAAATAAAAAAATCATTATCTGATTTCACCTGTTCCAATAGGTATCCCATTTATGTGGCATAGATTGTTTATTGTTTTTAGCTATCACATTAATAAAAACTGTGATATAGTATACATTCAGGAAAACGTTAAAATGGAACCAGTGGGAAGCATTTGGTGCAGTAATTCTTTTATTAAGAAAGAGTTATATAAACTTGGTACTGTACTTTGTGCATGTAAATTTGTTGCAGATATTTGTTTAAACAATTTTTTCAGTGTTGTCAGTGATTACTGAATAGCAGGTTATATCTTTTATGATTTAAGGCTCTTGTTAATCAAGTGGTAGGAACTGTCTGCAGCTTGTTTACCAAAGCACTGCCGAAAGGGTTAGTGGTGTGTGGAGTGTTCACACGAGATTACCGTCACGACGTCTTTAATTCTCAGGTATGTCACATACATGAATGCATAATAAATAATAATGCATATTTAAAGCTCTTTGATAGGCACTTCAAAGTTAAAAAAAAATTTTTTTTTTTATTGATTTTAGAGAGAGGAAGGGAGAAGAAGAGAGACATAGAAACATCGATGAGAGAGAACATCGATTGGCTACCTCTTGCATGCCCCCCACTGGGGATTTGGCCCACAACCCTGGCATGTACCCTGACCGGGAATCAAATCGGTGACCTCTTGGTGCATGGGTCGACACTCAACCATTGAGCCACACCAGCAACCATTGAGCCAAACCAGCCAGGCGGCACTTCAAAGTTTTAATGTGAGGATATTAAATTCACAATTACCCTGAGAAATATATTTTTAATTTTTTTTTTATCCTCATCCGAGGACACTTTTTCATTTTTTGTTCAGATAGAGTTGGAGAGAGAGAGAGGGAGAGAGAGAGAGAGAAACATCGACGTGAAAGGGACACATTGAGTGGCTGCCTCCTGCATGGCCCTGACCCAACCAGGGCCGGGGACAAACTGCGACTGAGTTACGTGCCCTTAGCGGGAACTGAACCTAGGACTCTCTGGACCGCAGACCGATGCTCTAACTGCTGAGCCAAACCGGCCAGGGCTATATTTTTATTTCAACATTGCTTATATTATTTTTATTTAATAATGTTAAAAAATTATATTTTCTATATGAAATAAAATGTTTTCTGAAATTTCAACACAAGGAAGCAGCTTCCTTCAATGGTGATGGTTTCAAATTGTGATGATTTTATATTTCCAATGTACTGCATGGGAGCATGTTTCTGTATGAAATAAGCTTAACTTTTTGAATGTATCAACCACAATGTATATTTGTTACACAAATTTGTTTTATTCTGGCACAAATGAGATGGTTGTTTTCATGAAAATGCTAATAGCAACATAGTGTCTCTTCTAAAATATTTCATTGATGTTTAAAAGGAGGGGAGGGCAGAGTTTGAGTGGAGGGGCAAAGTGGGGGGGCATGGGGCACATCTGTAATAATGTCAAAACAAAAAAAGTTAAAGCTTGAGATTAAAAAAAAATTTGATCAGTGGTTTCCTATGTTTTTAAACAGATATTAGTGACAGTGCCTCAGTGTTTGGAAATACTCTTGATATCGCCTCGTAATCAAAAGTGGGTGGAAAGGATGAGATATGTCATATTTGATGAGGTATGCTGCCTTCATTACTATTATTCCACTATTTTTATGCACATAAAATATGTAGCTTTCGAATTATAGAAAAGATGGCAATTGTATGGACAGTTATTAATGTAAATATTCCCTTTATGGAAGGGATGTTAATGTTAGGCTGAAGGTGCTGATGTTAAAAGGGATCCAGAAGGAGTTAAAAAGAAAAATGGGAAAATTTCTAGAGTAAGAGTGATAATAGCAGAGGAAAAATATCCCAGAAATCACCGGACACACCAAAGACGTTAGCAATAGACTTTTTTTTCTTTTAGCTATAAAACGTCTATCCCACTGAGCCAATAATCTTTTAAGAGGTACTTCCTATTACCTATACCAGTCTAATTAATGGCTAAATTAGTCATGTCCCTCTATTGCTGGATTAAAAGTGAAAGTGCCTCATACTGCTAGCTAGCATTCATTTAATGAATAATCCCAGGAAGGAAATGAAAAACAAAATACAAACGAGCAAACAAAACAAGTAAACAGACTAAAATAAACAACAAAGGCTGTAAAGTTAGGAAGATGACCTAATTTGAACGTGAATTTTGAATCCTTTTCTAATATATTAATGTATTGAAGGTTGTACATTAAAGTACTGCCTTAGCAACATTTGAAACATTACATTTTTTATGATTCAGTTTAAAATATCTTTTAATTGCCATCATGATTTAATTTTTTGTTCATAGGTTTATTAAATTTGTTAATTTTTAAATATACTTATTAAACTATCTTTTTGGTTTGTATTTCTAGCTTAATTACATTTAGGTTAAGAGTATATTTTTATATTTTTCATCTTTGAAATTTAAATTGATAAATAATTTTCATATCAGCAACACATATTGAGAAAATGAGATAAACAAGAATTTTTAATATAATTTATGCTATAATTAAATATACAAAGTACTTTGGAATAAATTTTTAAAAGAATGTACAGGACTTTTATAAAGAAATCATTAAACTTTACTGAGTGACATTTAATAAGATTTTTTAAAAGACTAAAATTAATAGAGATACCTAGGGAAAAAGTTCATGTTCCCCCGCCCCAGATAGAACTCCATCTCCTTGCCCTCTAGCACATAAACATTTTTTCAAAAATGTTTTTATCGATTTTTTAGAGGAGGGGAGGGGAAGGGAGAGGAAGAGAGAGAGAGAGACAGAGAAACATCAGTGTGAGAGAGAAACATCAATTCATTGCCTCCCGTATGCACCTCGACCAGGAACTGAACTCATGAGCCAGACATGTGCCCTGACTGGGAATCAGACCGGCAACTTTTCCGTGCACTGGACGATGCTTTTGGTGCACAAAGTAAGCAATACCAGCCAGGGCACTCCACGTTTTTTTTGCATCAGAAAATTCAGTATTATGATTATAACTTCAATGATTGTGATTATAATTATGATAGATCACTTTGAACACAAATATATCATTTTGGACAATTAGGTCCCCAAATTGTTCTATAGATTTAGTGCCATCACAAATAAGAACTCATGGATTTTTTTTCTGTGATATTTGTGGGTGTGGGTGTGTGTGCACTTTGAGTGTGTGTGTTTGCGGGATGGGGGGTGCTGGTAACCTGATTCTGATACTTACATGAAAATGCAAAAAGGAAAAAGTAGCCAAGATGCATATGAAAAAGAATATTAAAGTAGGCAAAGATATGCATTTGAAAAAGAAGAGCAAGGTGAACAAACTTGCTCTATCAGGTATCAGGATTTGTTAGAGACCTATGGTAATAAAGTGATATCTTCTGAAACAGGGATAAGCATGTAGACAAATGGGCCAGACAGTCAGAAATAGAACCATGGATGAACATTTTATTTAAGCAAAAAGTGGCTCCGGAAACAGTATTGGAAAAATTGGAAATAAATGTGAAAGAGAAAAATATCAGATTATTTCCTCGCATCATGCACAAAATCAATGTTAAATGGTTTAAACATAAGTAAATGGTTAATCTATGAAAAAGAGATTAGCAAATTTACATTCAAATCAAGAATTTTTATTCATCTAAATGTATGAAGAGAATGAAATTACAAGCCACTGAATGGGAGGTATTTGTAATTCATAACTGGCAAAAACCTCTCATTCAACATATATAAGGCTTTCTTTAAAGGATCAAGAGAGAAGGCAATCACAAAAGAAGATTTTCAAATGTCTAATACACCCCTGGAAAGACACTCAACTAAAGTCACAGTGAAACACACCGACCAGGCTGCAGGTTAGAAGCTGACAGTGTCAGTGTTGAGAGGAAAAGCGATGGGAAGCCCGTCCGCTGCGAATGGGGGGCCACTTTGGAAATCGTTTTGACAAAACCTAATGACGATGACAGAACTTCAGAACGGTCACACATGTGGACAGGGAACCATGTACAAAATGTTCAGAGTAGCAATGCAGAGTGGCAACACAAATGTCCCTCAGAGTGGAAATAATAACAAAATGTGGTATGTTTATACAATAGAATACAAAGGTCAATGAAAATAAATATAACAGAATATTCTTCAAATCATAATACTGATCAAAGGAAGTTAGACACAAAAGGGCACATACTATATAATTCAAATGGCAAAACCTTACAAAACTGGAAAAATCAACTTACATTGTTTGTGAACACACACATATGTGTATATAAAGAAGTACAATGAAAACCAAGCCATGATTTTTAGAAAATAACATAACCACTGAAAGAGGTTGTTATAATATGAACTTCTGAGACACTGGAAATATATATATATATATATATATATATATATACACACATATATATATGTTTTTGAATTATTAGAATGTTTGCTTTACTCAGTTAATCTGAATAATACTTAGATAATTGTAAGTCTGTTTTTTTGTTTTTTTTTTAATACTCACCCAAGAACATTTTTCCATTTTTTGTTCAGATAGAGTGGGGGGGGAGGGAGAGGAAGAGAGAGAGAGAGAGAGAGAGAGAAACATCGACGTGAAAGGGCACATCGAATGGCTGCCACCTGCACGACCAACCAGGGCCAGGAACAAACTGCAGCTGAGGTAGGTGCCCTTAGCGGGAACTGAACCCGGGTCTCTCTGGACCGCAGGCTGACGCTCTAACCTCTGAGCCAAACTGGCCAGGGCTTGAAAGTCTGTTTTTATACAATTATTGAATGTTACATTTTACAATAAAACAAAAGTTGAAGAAGAATGCAAAGATTGATTTATATATGCATTATTATATTACACATATTGCTATACATAAAATTCTGACAGCTACCATCATTTGAATGTCTACTGTGGATATTTATTCTAAATGTCCAGCTATAATGCCATTTACTCTTCAGAAAAACAGTAAAGTAGTTACAATTTTTTGTTGTTATTAATCTTCACCCAAGGATATTTTTCCATTATTTTTTAGATAGAGTGGAAGAGAGGGAGAGAGAGAGAGACATAGATTGGTTGCCTCCTGCACAGCCCTAGTCGGGGTTCAAACTTACAACCCAGGCATGTGCCCTTGATCAGGAATCAAACCCGAAACCCTTTGGTCTGTGGGTTGAGTCAAACTGGCCAGGGCAGAGTAGTTACAATTTTTATGGCTACTGAATTGAGGCAGAGATGCCTTTTCTCACCCATGCGGAGTGCGGAGCCAAGGTTGGAGCAGCAGGCAGCGTCCGTCTTCCGTGCTGTAACCCAGCGCAGACACACAGAGGGAAAAGGTGCGAGAAATGTCCCCTCGCATAACAGTGCAGGGAACACGGCAAAATGTTTATTTTAAATCTTATCTTTTGCATCTTTAGTAAAAATACTGAAAAAAGTACTTCTTACCAGGTCTTACTTCATCATTATAAATTCTACATTTATCTCTGATCTACCGGCACTTGAACACACACACACACACACACACTTTAAAAAAAATGATCTTATTATCAATATATTTCTGGTGTCAATGACATGTTTTTCTTTTTTCTCTGTTTTGACTGAAAGCTTGTTGAAAGCATCTCTTTACCTCTCCAAAGTCCTGCTTCATAGTAGATAAATGCTTCTTCGTGAAAGATAAAGGCTTCAGTGAAAATCAGAAGTTAAGGATAAACAAGACTTTTGAAACTGAGTTTTTTTTTCCTTTTTTATTCCATAAAATATAGGCTCTAATATACACAAGGATCTAATTTTACTAAATAAAAGTTTATTGTTAGCTTAGAATTTTACAGAAATTATATAAAATCAAGTCTTTTAAAGTTGTTCTGGCTTTCATATATTATTAGTAGGTGCTTATATCATTGTGGCAAACTACAAATGAATGAGCTAATAATCACTTATCCAGTCAGAAGACGAGGCTTTCTCTAGATTTTTGACTGGTACAGAATAAATGTTCTGTGTATATTTATAGACTGAAGCCCAGAGAAGTTTATTTATTTCAAATTAATTTGTTTTATAAACATTTTTATCTGCATTTCAGTGATAGGATTAGTGACACGAGTAAAATGTTTTATTTTTATAGAGAATTTTCATCTTATCTTTGTGTGGTAATTGCTGTGATTTAGCCAATATTTCATTTCTTCTTTTTTTTTTTTCCCTCACCTGAGGACATTTTTCCATTTTTTGTTCAGGTAGAGTGGGAGGGAGAGAGAGGGAGAGAGAGAGCGAGAGAAACATCAATGTGAAAGGGACACATCGAGTGGCTGCCACCGCACGACCAACCAGGGCCAGGGACAAACTGCAACCGAGGTACATACCCTTAGCGGGAATCGAACCCGGGTCTCTCTGGACTGCAGGCCAACGGTATAACCGCTGAGCCAAACCGGCCAGGGCCAATATTTCATCTCTAAACAAGACTTACGGAGACCGAAAAATGGCGGCGGAGTGAACGGAGCTACACAGACCGTCTCCCAGAACCAAACTGGAATTACAACTATAACACAGACAAATCGACGGGAAAAAGCAACAGAAAAGCAGCTTGCGAGGACCATACAACGAGGGACACTGACTCCATCCCGGTAGGCTTGCGAAGGCGCGAGACGGGGCT